CTGTTTCAGTTTCGTTGAAGTCAAAAGTGCAAGTCTTGTTTTTATCGATGAAAAGCTGAAACATTTTAGTCTTTTTTAAGTCAACAAAAAGTCAAAACACTTAAGTCATCACTGTTGGCAAAAAACATTTTAGTTACAGTCAATTAAAAGTTAAAATATTTTAGTCTCCTTTTAGTCCACTAAAAGTTCAACTTATTTAGTTTAGTTTGAGTCAAATGTCAAAAGTGCAAGTCTTGCTTACTTCAATAAAAAGCTGAAACATTTTAGTCTTTTTTAAGTCGACACTTAAAAAAGCACTTAAGTTGTTACTGTTGGCCAAAATTCTTTTTGTCAAGACTGTACAAGTAATTAAATCTGCTTTCTTTAACTCTCTGAATGAAATTAACACTAAAATGAACAAAGCTTTTTGATACTAAAGATGGCGTCTTCACAGAAATGTCTCCTGTTTAAATAGTTTCCCTTTAAAGTTGGAGAAAATGTTTGAGACTGATAATTTTTCAAGTCTTTTATATATTCTGAGTTAACATCAATGTGATGAGGTCCTGATGCCAGGCTAACTATCAAAGAAAAGTGGATTCTTAGCTACACTTTCTTTTTTTTTTTGGAAACCAAGAGGCACCAAATATTGTTTGGATGATGAGTCTCAGTCTCTTTAATTCCATTTTTTCCTTCCAAGGACGTTTCCCAGAAAAACGATGAAGGAGTAAATCATCCAGCTCGATCATGCTAACACCTGTGATTTCCAGAATTTGCTCGCTGGCGCTCATTTACACTGTAAGCAAACAGGAGAGGACGGCACGATGCTCAGGCTGTTAAAAATAAGAACATGTAAAGGTACTGCACGTCTCTTTGTTGTATTTACTCCTGGGTGAGACTGCTCCCATCTGCGTTTTAACAAAAAGGGAAAATATCTCTCTTGAGTTATTGCAGCCGTCCGTAAGCATAACATGCAGTTAGTTTATTAAAATCTTATAGATTTACAGCGGAGCCCTGGAAACACTTGACACCAGCGGAAGAAAGCCACAGTCGGTATAACAGCATTAACCGTTTTCGCCTTTCATGTGTGCTGTGTTCAGATGATTGAGGTTAAAAATGGAAAAAGCCGAACAAACCGCCCTCCAACAAGTCCCCCTTTTCATGAGCCTTAAAAGACATCTTTTCATCTCCCATTTCATTCTGCGGCCATTGATCAGCCATCTCTCACAGATTGCTTCCAGACATCTATTCAGCCGCTCTGTTGCCGCACTGCATGACTGCGTTTCACAGGTCTTAATGGCAAGGTCTCGCTTTTGTGCTTATATTAAAACCTGGACCACAATCGCTTAAATTGGTGGTAAATTCTCGGAAAAAAAAAATAAGAGAGAGAGAAAAAAGTTTGTGCTGCCTTTTGAGAAAAGTGGATCAACAGCTCGGAAATTTCCTCATGCAAAACTGGGCAGATTCTCAAATTCGGAGGGTGAGACAGATCCCCTCTTGCCTCATCTAGGGTATTTTTTTCCTTTCAGCTCATGAGCTAGAAAAAGGTCATGTCAGTCGTGTGACAAGAGTGACAGGACTGGGGCATCATTACTGAGACTTGGAAGGTCTGTGTAAGCACCTTTGGTCACCTCAGGAGAATAGATCCCCACTGCGCTGCTGCCGGCCTAATGAGCACACACAGCCTTGAGTCTAATGAGAAGAGGGCGATTGCGACTGTCTTCCATCAGCCCTCTGCACTGTCGGAACAACATCCCATAATGCCTTGAACACCGCGGCATGAGCGACCGAACAGCGGCGGATAGCTTGTCACACATCTCTGTAGAGGCTGCGGAGGAATCTGCCAAAATGTCCTCAGAGCTGAAAAACACTGCGACTCGAACCCTTTAGGTTAAGTTGATGTTCCTTCCACACTTCTCCACAGTGAATAGGATCATGAGACTGTATGGCTGAGTGAACCGCATGGAATAAATCCAGCCTGGAAATTTTAGCACCCTCGTCTAAGTGTCGTTGCCTCTTTCCAACTGGCAAAACATGTTTGGATTTCGTCGACTAAAGCAGTCTTTTTAAGTTCCCAGTCAAACATTTTATGAATTCCTGGCATGTAAAACTCTTCAAACTTCCCTCTTTTGGTTCTGATCTCTTAGCATTTTTAAATAAAGGTAGGTGCGATGCGTTTTGAATGCCAGAAGCAACCTTCATCCCGGCGCTCTTGCACTCCAGCTGACCCTCTTCCGAGTCATTATGCGTCTACATAAGAGCTACAAGTTCACAGCTTTAATAATGTACAGTATTTCACCTGATCTCAGCTGTAGAATTAGCCTCTAGATCCACATTTAAAGGTTACATTTTTATCATCTCCCACTCCTATGAAGTCCCTTCAGTGGATATTTGTGGACAGATTGGCTTTGGACTCCGCAACAATTGATTCTCCTTTGTTGGCGATCCAGGGATCTGGGAATTCTGCCACGAGATGATTATCACCATGTAGTCGATATTATGAAAACTCGCAACAACAAAAACATACCCACAAACAACAGACTTGTTTCCAAAAGTTTGCAATAAGTTTTCAAAGGCCAGTAACAAGTTTAACTTGAGTCTGAAGTGTTAGGAGTAATTTTCTTTAGGTGTAAGTTGGAGAGTTGTTCAGCGTTGGCGGAGGATTTTTCGAGTCTGCTATTGTTACCTAATTAGTCCAATCAAACCGGAGAGGAAGGAAACACCTTCTCTGAGCAGCAAACACAATTATTCACATTCTGCTGTTATATTTGCAGTAATTAACACTTAGGGTCAGTGTTTTTTTAAAGGTACGCTGTGGAAAGACCTCCTCTTCTTCGTAAGCCGTAACCGCACTTAACTTAGCACCTTTACTTCCTGAAACATACAGGATTGACTGCATGTGTGATCGTCCACTGGGATGATGCTCGGTACATTTAAATACAGAGTTAAGTCAAGCTCTGATTATAGTTCGATCAGGCGGTTTACTATCCTTGTCCCAGTTTGTATTCACCAGGCGAGAAACAAATCACTGACAAGAGCATGTCCTCCTCCGCTACTTTGGTTGCAGCATATTCCCTTTTAGTTCGTCATTACAAGGTAAACAGGTAGCCTCCCCCTGAACAGGGTAGCCTAAAAATGAGTTCGATTCATACTGTTGGGTTCAGCTTTTGCACCCGAATGATACAATAATGTGGAGCCGAAAGAGCTGGTTTTTGTTGTGCTGAGTGATCTGGATCACTAAGTCTGAAGACGTGCTGAGGTATGAAACTCTGCTTTAACATGGAAAGATGGATCGCACACACCTTTACCCGGGATTTCCACCACATCTGAAACGGCTCTTATCTGGAACGGCAGCGATTTTCGCTGTACGCCAATTCCTACTGGATCAGTTTGTGAGGTGAATTTCGTGGCGGATTACCAACAGCAGGAATCGCGAGAACTCACAAGAACCCGCGGGTTCACGTGCAATCGCATGATAACAAGTTGTCTCTAGCCACATAGGCTAACCATATAAGCAGTAGATTGTGCCCTTCCAGAGGAGGAAATCTACTTCTAGACTTCTAGAATCAGCATCCTCTCATCCATGGTGTCATCAGGATGAAACGCTGTCCCAAAACCTTTGACTTGTTTGTTCCAGCCCGTTTGCATGTTGTGTAATACAATCCACCCGAAACACAAAGTGTTTTATTTTGAAAAGAAACCGGATGTTTTATTTTGTGTCTGTGCCCGACTTCCTTCTCAGCACGGACTAATCTGTGCTGAATTTATCCGCGATGCTCTGGCGTCTCTTGGCGTCTCTTGCGATCAGCTACGGAGTCCGGCCATTCGCAGCGGAAAGGAAAGAAGCTGGTGGAAATTCACCAACTATCAACTATGATCTGCGGATACGGCCTTTTTGTAGCTGTTCCAGATGTGGTCGAAACTGCCCATTAGCAAGCGCGTACAGACTGTGTAAAGAATGGATGTCATCTGCCTCAAAGCTGGGTGAAGCTTCCGCAAGAACAGCACCCCCTGGTGACTGGTTGCAGTATAGGTCATAGGGTTGGAGCCGAACTCGAATACGGTATCCGGAAAGGCACAAATAACGTGTTTTTTAAAGAATACTTATTTTGAACAAATACTTCATAAAACACTTGTACTCCGGAACAAGAAAAACATCTTATCAAAAAGCTGCGTTTCCTCGTGAGACCACAGTGCATGCCCAGATGAGTGAGTGAGTGACGTTCAGGAGTCGGGGTAGGAGAGAGAGTAAAAGAGTCTGACACAAGCTGAGCAACACCAGAGGTGTCAGGTAACGAAGTACGAATATGTTACCTTACTTAAGTACAAATATGGGGTATCTCTACTTTACTGGAGTAATTATTTTTCAGCCGACTTTTTACTTCTTCTCCTCGATAGGGTTCATAATGCTCACAATGATATTTTATTGGTTGTTGGTTTAACCATGGATGAAGTAATGGCTGTTATGTTATTTTCTTTACAGTGATGTTCCTTGTTACATGTTCATTGCTGGATTTATTATTATTATTATTATTATAATGGATAGTTAAAGAAGACTTACACTTACATAACATAAATTAGAAGTGCAACGCCAAAAAAAAATGGATTTTTATGCCTATTTTGAATTTTACTCAAATACAAATGCGAATACTTTTTCTTCCTCAACAAATACAAACACAAATACTGGCTGCTTTGCACACCCCTAATAGGTCATAAACCCCGCCTCCTCCAACAAAATGAATGGAACTGTGGACAAACTTTAAAAATCAAATACAAGTCATATAATTGTTTTGCTCTTTGTTGCAATGCTTTACATGTAGTTATTTTTGGACTGGTTTGAGCTCAAGTCCTCTTTTTTTAGCAGTTCTGTTTTAAAAGTTATTAGGGCTGATAAAAACAGGAAATTACATCATGATTTTTATGATTGACACTTGGATACTGTCAGTGGGCGTATGAAGATTGCGTAGATCATCCAGGGGTACGCTGTTCGAGCAGAGCATCATCACAACTTCTACCTCCGACTGCTCCTGTGCAAATGCCGGTTTCAGGAAATGGAGTTAAAACGAGCGATTTTTGGCTTCAAATTTGTACAGCGACTGGAGGCAGAGTCACGTTGTCCGTACAATGTACAGTCTTTGGTTGTGATTCTCACTATAGCAGCAAGAGAAGGTTGGTGGACAATTAGACTTTGAACAGATTTTACTAAAATGGTGACGTTAAGCCATTAACTGTGGCTGCCTCTGACATGCAAATTTGGGAAATTACAGGGGCACTGCTCCTTAAATGAGCCGAAAATTGCAGGAGTATTGGTGAAAGTGTGAAAATAGTAGTACTGGCAGACAGGTAGTTCCGCTCTGTAAAGCACCTGATGTATTTTACCTCCTCTCTATTAGGTATTATGACTGTACTGCAGCAAAGAATCATGTTGCTATGAGGCACAAGTGCTAAAAATACAAGTGTATAAAAATGCAATGTCAAACTAAATGTGTCATCAATCTTTCATCACAAATATAAATCTGACTACATTCTGAGGCAATTATACCTGTGTCAAAAATGTCCATTCAAATTTATCGATAAGCACTCTTGGCTGTTTGAGTGGGTTGCTTTTGGCCACTCAATCGTGGACATCTTCACACCCACGCCACTTCTTTTTTTTTTTTTGTATATTCAGCTATGCCAGTATCTCAATTACTGTGTGAGTGGGCTGGTGCAAAAAAAAAGGGGGGGAAAGTTGGCCATAGCAACAGTCACCATCAGCCCACACAGAATAATTCTATGTGATGATTTAAATCTTATTTAATTATGTGTGAGCGAGCAGGTTTGCCAGCCGGGGATGAAAGGAGCGGTGTGTTCAGAAATACCTGGAGAAGTGGGAGCTTTTTCCAGCGAGTTGGACGTTTCAACGCGGCAGAGATGCATCAGCGTTCACCCTGAGAGAGTAAAAACGGAGTCAACACTGTGCCAGTATTTACACAAGCCTGCAGTATCAGATACTTCAACTTTTTATATGTCATTTTAAACACATTTTGTCCCAGATTCATATCAGATATTTTCACAAACAGGCAACACCGCCTGCAGTAGGGAGCTGAGAGAAATCAGGTGAAGTTGATGTTGGAGATTCTGATCTGCCGTGTCAGGGAAGATGCACAAATGTCACTGAGATGTTTCAAGGCAGGACAAATACAATATGTTGGAATAGATGGAATGAACATTTCATAAATATCTCCTCTGATGGTCTGGGATTTGAATCCTCAACCTTGACGCCTCCTGAATACCAGTGTAAAGGCGAAATGTGGTTTGTAGTAGATGCTGATAGTCTGAACGGCTTACCGAAAGAAAACATTTTCCACACTTTTGCTTCTATGGTGGCTTAAATTTTTCTCTTTTACTGGTTCCCAAATAGGCTTTTATGTTAATATGTTTTCAACCCAGCAGGTAATTAAAAAAAGATTAAGTTAATATAAAAAAGAAGGAAAATTTACCCAACTTTTTACAACAAGCTGACACAAAAGTATTCAATTTATGCTCGAGGACAAGCAGAATGATGCTGCTCTGCACAGGATTATACAAAGAACGAGTTCGCAGAAAGAAATGTTGTGAATGTGTTATTGTGGTTACAATTATGTAGGCTACATTCAGCTTTGAATGAAAGAAGCCAATGAATTTCATGTAATTTTGCTGAACGAATCTGTTTAAAGTGTTAAAATCGTGTTACCTGTGTCATTTTCAAGGGCTTTAAAATGATCTTTTTTGGTCTGGACACAATTCTAATCAAACTTATGGCAGACTAAATTCACTTTTAAGAGTGAAAAATGTTTTTTTTTTTTTTTTTAAATAAATGTCTAACCTCTTCACCCATGTGCTTCTAACCTTCACAGACTCCATGAATTGATGCCCATCTTCGAAATATTTGGTCACATGATCAATTTTCTTTTACCATTTCCAAGCAACAGGCAACTCTGGCTCAACTTACCCCACTCTCCCCTACTCATTTCTCTGGGTTCATCCTGGACAGATGTCTGTTACAGTTCGACGTTGTCCTCGTCTTCTCTCTTCAATGATTCTTTTACACTATGAACACGTCGCTCTACATGAACCAGCGTTTGTGGTTAAATCTTTAAAAGCCAAGCGGACAACCCGTGGCGTCTCCTTCGTCATCTTGCTGCGCACTGTTGCTGAGCATGAGACGCACGTGATCGTGCATGCAGGTAAACAAACACACGTGTTCGCCGTTGGTTGATGATGGATCTGTTATCAGGACTCGATAGGGGAGAGTGGGGTAGGATGAGCAGTTTTTCATATTACTGATCACTACATCAAGGCAATCATAGTTTTTTCTCTAACCACCCACTGAGCATTTTTTGGTCTGAAAGAGGTCTAATAGAGGTCTAAATGTAGCCTAGACAACTAGTCTAAAATCAGGCTACCACAGGTCTAAAAATGAAAGTTTTTTAGACATCTAGATTTAGACCAAGTTTAGACCAAGTCTAAATCCGGGCTTAATCTATATTACACTGTATGTTGTTAAACGACTATCCTAATTATTTTGGTTAAGTACTTGCAACTATGCAACTGAATAAATAAATGGATATCGAATAAAGGATTAAAGTGCAACGTCTAAATTCCGTCCAAAATCATACAAAATCTAGACAGTTGAAATTAGGTCTGAAAAAAACTAGACGTCTTACAGCCGTCTATTGCTCAGTGGGTAGTGTATCTGCATATATTTCAAGATGTTGTTTATCCCTGCAAACTAAAAGAAAGAGTGTAAACATAACTGTCTTGATAACCCACTGAGCAACAGATGGCTATTCGACGTCTAGTTATTTTTTAGACTTAATTTCAACCGTCTAGATTCTGTATATTTTTAGACGGAATTTAGATGTTGCACTTTAACCCATTATTCGATAACTATTTATTTCAAAAAGCAACTGTGAGTTGCATAACTATTCTCCAAGTACTTAACCACAATAATTATGATAGTCGTTTAACAAAATACAGTGTAGTATAGCTATAACCCAGATTTAGACTTGGTCTAAATTTAGATGAGTCTAAACGAGTCCTCCTCCGAGTCCCAATGCAGCCAGAGCTTGAGTCCGAGTCGAGTCACAAGTCAAGCATATCCAGACTCGAGTCCAGGACTGGAGTACTACAACACTGAAAGCCGTCTTATTCTCCTTCACTTTAAAAACAGTTAATAAATTGAGCCATTGAGTCTTTTTCTCTGCATAGGCCTACATGCAGCATCATGATTTAGTGTCTTAAAAGATAAATTAAGCTGAGACTAAACTTTAATCATGTCTTTTGGGAACTTTGCTCGGTTAAGCTATTGAGGATAAGAGTCTAATGAGATGATACAACCAATAAACATAGCAATCAAACATATTGGAAGAAATAGAGATGGCTCCCAACAAGTGTATTGTACAAACAACATATGAACATGAATACGCTTTATGAGAATTCAGTGTTGGTTGTTCTGCAATGTGCGCTGCGTGATTGAGCATTTGTCAAATTAATGAGGAGCTAATTCAAAGAAAGGAAAAAGACGATAGAGGAGGGCAAGAACGCACACAAGAGGAATTACCCAGCAGCAGGTGCATCTTCACACACAGAGGATTAGCTTTGTTACACCCACACAAAAGCATGAATCGCTGCCTCACACACGGGCACCTTTGCTTTTGAAGACATATTAATAGAAGATTACAGCAGCAACTCAATCTTTTGACAACATTATCTCAATGTCAACACTGTAATACCGGAGATTATATTAAGGTAGTGTATGAGAACAAAGGAAAGATGTTTAATACAGCCCCAACCTCTACCTTTTTAGCATAACAGTTGCTGCTTTACATACCCGCTGTGCTTGTCTGCCACAGCAGGTATTACATTTGTGCTTTGCGTTATTGTGTAATATTTTATGGAACTGCTGTAGCTATAAAAGCAAGATACCATTATCATATCTCAACCTGAAACAAGAATCCCTATTTTCATCCGTGCTGCTTCACCTTAAAATATCAATAAACCCTTGGCAGCACCCCCATTGCTTCACCCTGCTGCTGTGAACACAGAGAAACCTGATTTCTATGCTCTGTCAACCCAAATCCAGCTTTGGAAAGCCTCAACTCCTACCTTTTCCAATTCAGCTTTCTCAATAACCAACTCATCCTCCTCCTCACACTCCCACTCGGCCGCATAATCCATAACGTTTTGTTTTGCTGCTACGCTGATGACACCCAGCTATATCTCCCACGGAAACCAGATGAACCAAATAGCTCCTGATGTCATGTAGAGCACAATAGTACTTTTATCAACTTTATTATGAGCAAGTTCTTCCACTGTTGATCCCTAAAAAAACATAAGAACCAAACTAGCCAATAGATTTAGCGATAAAACCAATCAGTTTCATATTTCCTTCTTGTCTCCTTGATGATTCTACTTTTACCAAATGCGACGTAAACAAACAAGGTTGTAGTCTGTAGAAATTATGTTCCTCATGTTTCTGCTAGTTTTTAAAATGTTTGAGTTTCCTACCAAGCTAGTCTTCTGTCATGAAAATAAAGATCATGCAACCCTTAAAAAAACAAACAGACTCAAATTAACGTAATATCTGAAAGACACCACAGTGCACACAATGGTGTAAACTGCGTAGTCAGACGCTAACTCTTCGTGGATTCATGAATATAAAAACCATAGACTGTATATAGAATGGACGCCGTCTGCCTCCTCGCTGGGTGAAGCCACTCCGAGAACAGCACCCTCTGTTGACAGGTTGCAGTATAGGTCAGCAAAGCTTATGGAGCTGTGGACAAACTTTGGAAATTGTAGAAATTTTAGACATGTAGTTATTTTAAGACTGGTTTGTGCTCAAGTCCTCTTTTTTCTGTACAGCTCCATTTTTTAAAGTTATGAGGGGGCTCATGTTTTCTATGATTGACTCTTGATACAGCCAATTGGCGTTCAAGGATTGCGTAGCTCACCCGGGGGATACGCTGTTTGAGTCGAGCGTCATCACAGCGACTCTCTGTTACTCTCCCACCGAATGCACACAATGCTACTGCACAATGTTGGTTTCGGGAAATGAAGAAAAATCCCGGATATACCGAGAGCTTTTCAGCTTCTAATCTATATACTAGCAGGAGGCGGAACCAAGTTGTCCATAGTATATACAGTCTATGATAAAAATGTCTTTTAAAAACATCGTCATGGAAGTGCAACTCCAAATTGGGCGACCACCAAAGTTCTCTCCACAAGCCTTAAAATAAGAATCAAATCTCAAACCGATTCCTTGGCAGATTGTCATACCTTCATAAAGTATTAAAGGTTTTGCGCCACCAACGGTTTCAACGTATTTTTCCACCACTTATGGAAAAAAAAAACTGTCACAGTCCTCTCCACCAGCTAGTGGCAACTTTATAAATTAACCATACAGGCTCAATGAAATTAACGTAACATCTGAAAGTCACCACAGTGAACACTAATGCGTGAACTGCAAAGTCAGGCGCTAACCCTTCGTGGATTCATGAATATAAAAGCCTCTTTTAAAAACATCATCATGGAAGTGCTACTCCAAACCACCAAAGTTCTCTCCACAAGCCTTAAAATACGAATCGATTCCTTGGCAGATCGTCAAACCTTCAAAAAGTATCAAAGGTTTTGCGCCACTTACGGAAAAAGCATTGTAACAGTCCTCTCCACCACCTAGTGGCGACATTAAAAAATTACCGTATTTTTCGCACGATAAGGCGCACTTAAAATCCTTTTGGCTTGTCAGAGCACTGCAGCTTCCGTTGCCTTGCGGAGTTAATGACTGTTTTGTTTGTCTTAATGTGCTTTATAATCCGGTGAATGTGAACGTGAATGGACGCGTTCATCGATGGTGCGCCTTATAGTGCGAAAAATACGGTAACCA